AAAAAAAAAACAAGAACAATTATTGATGTATGTAGCCATCAATAACAAACAATATGAATGAATCTCAAAGCGATTATACAAAGTGAAAGAATTCAGACCAAAAAAATGCATACCATATAATTCCATTAATATAAAATTATTGAAAGTGCAATTATAAATAACAAAAATAGATCAGTGGGTACATGAGGATGGTGAGGAGAGTTACCTTTTAAAGGGGCATGAGGAGACTCTTGGGTGTGATCGGTATTATTGCTTTGAAGCAATGGTTTCATAGGCAAATATATATGTTAAGCAACATCAAAATTGTATACTATAAATATGTGCAGGCCGGGCATGGTAGAGCACAACTGTAATCCCAGCACTTTGAGAGACCAAAGCAGAGGGATCACTTGAGCCCAGGAGTTCAACACCAACCTGAGCAACATAACGAGCCCTCATCTCTACAAAAATTCAAAAAATTAGCTGGGTGTGGTTGTGTATGCCTCTAGTCCCGGCTATTTTGGAGGCTTAAATGGAAGTGTTGTCTGATCCCGGGAGGTCAAGGCTATGGTGAGTCATGATTGTGCCACTGCACTCCAGCCTGGGCAATAGTGAGACCCTGACTCAAAAAAAAAAAAAAAGATGTAAAAATATAAATCCATACCTAGATGTGTCAGAGACATTAGATTCAAAAGATCACAAAAGCACCCCCCCAAAAAAGACCACCCATGAAGGATGGCAGTTGGAATGACAAATGACTTCTCAGTAGCAACAGTGATTTTTAGAAGACAGTGAAATGATATCTTCAAAGTGCTGAGAAACAAAACAAAGCAAAACAGAATTTAATGCTTAGAGAATTTGTATCACGGAGGTGAAATACCTTTCCATGCAAACAAATCAGATTTTACTAACAGAACTTTACTGGGAAAATTCTAGAGCGTATTTCAAGTCGAAAGAATATGACTCTAGAATTAAGGTCTAAGATACAAGAAGTGATTAATAAAGATAACAGCAAATGTGGATAAATCTAAATAAATATTGACTATGCAAATTAAAAGAACAATGTTGAATTTGTGGGGGTTAAAAAATATCAAGGTAAGGCCAGGCGTGGTGGCTCATGCCTATAATCCCAGCACTTTGGGAGGCCGAGGTGAGAGGATTGCCTGAGCCCACAGGTTCAAGACCAGCCTGGGCAACTTGGCAAGACCTTGTCTCTACAATAAATAAAAAAAATTAGACAGACATGGTGGCGCATGCCTGTAGTTCCAGCTACTTGAAAGGCTGAGCACAGTAGATCTAGGCTGCAGTAGCCGTGAGCCTCACTGCACTCAAGTCTGGGCAACAGAGTGAGACTTCAACTCAAAAAATAAAAAATAAGCCGTGCTTGGTGGCTCAGCCTGTAACCCCAACGCTTTGGGATGCTGAGGTGAGTGGATTGCCTGAGCCCGCGGGTTCGAGACCCGCCTAGGCAACTTGGCAAGACCTCATCTCTACAATAAATCAAAAATTAGCTGGGCGTGGTAGCATGCACCTGTAGTTCCAGCGACTTGGAAGGCTGAGGTGGAAGGATTGCAGGAGCCCAGCAGGTCGAGGCTGCTGTGGCCAGGAGCGTGCTACTGCAACTCAAAAAATAAAAATAAAAAGTTAAGGTAGAACTAAAATATCTTGCAGTAATAGCATAGGAAGGGCTGATAGGATTAAATATACAACAGAGTGAGACTCCAACTCAAAAAATAAAAATAAAAAGTCAAGGTAGAACTAAAATATCTTGCAGTAATAGCATAGGAAGGGCTGATAGGATTAAATATACAACAAGTTTTGAAAAATGTTATTTTTAAAAACATAAGGTGCAGTGCCTCATGCCTGTAATCCTAGCACTTTGGGAAGCCAAGGTGTAAGGATCGCTTGAGGCCAGGAGTTTGAGACCAGCCTGGGCAACATAGTGAGACCTCATCTCTTTAAAAAAAATTTTTAAATTAGCCAGGCTTGTTGGGGCATGCTTGTAATCCCAGCTACTTGGGAGGTTAAACCCAGATCAGAGTCTCTCGTGAGCCATGAGTGTGCCACTGCATTCCAGTCTGGGCAACATAAAGAGACTCTGAATAATAATAATAATAAAAGATAAAAGGACATAGAAGGGGTTAAAAATGCACAATAGCAAAAGAAACTGATGAGGTTTTAAAACAAACTGATGAGGCTATATTAGTATAATACAAATAGACATTAGGACAAAAAACATCAATAGAGATAAAGAGGATCACGACATATTGCAAGAATATTGTATTTACTAGAAACATGTAATAATTTTAAACTTGAATGCAGTTAGTAACATGAAATCAAAATATAAAGGGAAAACATTATAGCACTGTTAGGCAGACACAGGACAAATACACCAAAATAGTAGGATCATTAAAGCATTTCTTTCAGTAATTGTTAGATCAAAAAGACAAACCAATAAAGATATATAAGACTTGAACAATATAGTCATCATGAATCATCTAACACCTGGAGGATTCCTATTTTTTTCAAACACAAATACAACATTTATGAAAGCCGATCAGTTTTAACAGGCTACACATCATATATGTTCTGACTCAACAAAGTTAAGTTAGAAGTCAATTTATGAAATATATCTAAAAAACTCATGTATATGGAAATTTAAAAATATATTTCTAAATAACCCATAAGTAAAAGAATTTAGTATCTGAAAATACTTAGAATTATAGCAAATACTTAGAATTATAGCAAAAACTCTTAAAACTTTTAGATATGTCTAAAGTAGTACTTGGAAATTTATAGCTTAAAATGCTTATTTTTTAAAAAATGACAACATATAAGCTAAGCATACTCCTTGTAAAGTTGGAAATCTAAATAAATAAAAAGTTAAGAATAAAGAAATAAAAAGAAAAGAGATAAGAAAATATGAATCTGAAAATAATGAAAACAAAGGTAACAGAAAATTTATGAAGCTGAAAGTTGTTTCTTTGAAAGGACTAATAAAATGACAATGTATCAAGGGATTAAAAAAAGAAGGCACATATTACTATATACAGTATTAAAAATGAAAGAGCAGGGGTTATTTAAAATGCAGTAGGGGTTAAACATTAAATAAAAGAATAATACCTTATTGCCAGTAAATTTGAAAGCTTAGGTAAAGTGAACAAATTTTTAGAAAAATATAACTTATTCTAGATGAAATAGGAAACCAACTATCTTTAACCATTAAAGAAATAGATGCATTAAAAAAATTTTCCTACAAGAAGATACCAGGTCCAGATAATTTTGCAGAGGATTTCTACAAACATTTAAAGAACAGATAATTCCTAACTTCACACAAACTCTTCTAGAAAAAGAAAAAGAAAAAGAACTCTTTCATTCATTCATTTAAAAAGCCAGTGAAACCAAACGCACCATGGAAAAGAAAAACTTGCTGGGCTCGGTGGCTCAGCCTGTAATCCCGCGCCTTTGGGAGGCTGAGGTGAGTGGACTGCCTGAACCCGCGGGTTCGAGACCTGCCTGGGCAACTTGGCGAGACCTCATCTCTACAATAAATCAAAAAATTAGCCAGGCGTGGTAGCGTGCGCCTGTAGTTCCAGCTACTTGGAAGGCTGAGGTGGAAGGATCGCCGGAGCCCAGCAGGTTGAGACTGCGGTGGCCGGGAGCGGCCACTGCACTCCAGTCTGGGTGACAGAGTGAGATTCCAACTGAAAAAAAAAAAAAAGAAAAAGAAAAACTACAGTTATACTCACTTAGGAAGCTATATGTAAAAATCCTAAAGATATCTGTAAACCAATCCAGCAGTAGATGAAAAGATAATTTATTGAGCAAACGAAGGCAAGTGACTGGACAGCACACACATGTAGACCAGATCTCCTGGAGTAGTATATACTCAGGGAAACTCATGTCATCCGTATGCCCCCACCTTGCCCCTCCCTTCCTGAGGAAGCTCAAAGGGAGCTAGTAAGGTTAGGCACAGACACTGGGAGAAGAATCCCTTGGACTGTAGCGCTTTAAAGGTGCATGACTGGGGAAATAGCAGCTCCTCCTTCCCCATGATTTAGGGCTAGGAGTCAAGCTTTTTTGCCATAGCAGAAACTGAACCTTCTTCCTATTTTTCTGTCTTAGTAACCACCAGTTAGGAGAATATCAGCCTACTTCTCATCCCTCATGTGATCAGGGATCTGGGTAGAATCTTTGTCAATACAGCTATAAAATGTGCTCTTCCAGAACTGAGTGACTCTTATAATTTCCACGGAGGCCAGGCGGCATGTAATCAATCTTAAACAAATTAACCCTTAATTCCCATAAAGCAGTATGACAAAATTAGATTTATTCCAAAAGTGAAATATTGAGACTACATTTGAAAATTATTGATTCTCATATGAATTGGATTACTCTAATTATCTCACTGACTGTTCCTGCCCCCTGCCTCCAGGACAAGGTCACACTGTCCTAATAGCAATGACTACAATTGAAGTGAAACCATCATTTGTGTAATTGCTTAGTATCTGTCTCCCCAAACAGAACATTTTCTCCATGAAGGCAGGTACTGTAGCTATATTGTTAATTATTGTAATCCAAGTATATAGCAGTGTACCCAATCTATGATATAGGTGGTCACTAATAATTTGCTGGATGAAAGGATAAATGAGTGAGGAGTTAAACTAAAGGACCCTCCCAGACCTAAGGCTGTATCCTCATAGAAGGATTCTTGTTCTTTCTCCCTGTAATAATTTCTTCTAAGCATTCATTCTGCTAAGATTAGTGATTTATGATGATAGTTTGAGTTGAATATGGAAGCTTTACAAAAGCCATCTGGGTTATAATTTATGTGTCCTGTCAACAGAGGGAAGTACACAGCCTTATGTTCTAGTGGGAATGTAGGAGAGTTCCTGACCCTTGACCAGAGCAAAAGCCTGCACTCCCTCAAGTTCTCAAGAACGCCTGGCTGTTGTGTATGTCAAGTCTTTCTTCCTCTACTCATTCCTCTTTCTTTCTTGTCTAATGCCATCTTATATTAGAGAACTTTCCTCAGTGTGTGCTGGAAATCTCAGATCAAGAAGTGTTGGAGTGGTATACTGCCAAAGACTTCATCGTTGGGAAACCACTTACTATCCTTGGGAGAACTTTCTTCATTTATGATTGTGATCCATTTACTCGACAGTATTTCAAAGAGAAGTTTGGAATTTCTGACTTACAACGTATTGATGTGAGCAAGCAGGAACCACCTCCTATAAAACAGGTAATCAGATAGTGGTTCTTACCATGATGAGAAAATTAATTTTCTGAGGTAGAAATTTAAGCAAAAGTAAAAAAAGGACTTCTATATTAATACCTAATAAAAAATGGGCAAACTATATGTAATAGAGTAGTTCACAAAAGAATAAATATGAAAAGATTCTCAGTCTAACTGATAACCAAAGAAATAATTTATGTTGTCAATCTCCTTATTTATAAGAAAACAAAGTATAAGGATATTGACAAAATAAATTATAACATATGCATTTCATACAATTAAAAGACTATAAAGCCTCCAAAAAAGAAGCAGTAGATCCCTACATGTTGACATGGATAAATGCCCATAACATATTTTTAAGTGCATGTGTATCTACAATATGGCCCTACATAATTGTAAATAATATCTGCTTATATGTGCTGAAGAAAAGACTTGGATGGATATCTACCTTACTCTTTTTTTTTTTTTTTTTTGAGTTGGAGTCTCACTCTGTCACCCAGACTGGAGTGCAGTGGCACGCTCCCGGCCACCGCAGCCTCAACCTGGGCTCCAGTGATCTTTCCACTTCAGCCTTCCAAGTAGCCGAAACTACAGGCACGAGCTACCATGCCCAGCTAGTTTTTGATTTATTGGAGAGACGAGGTCTCGCCAAGTTGCCCGGGCGGGTCTCGAACCCACGGGCTCAGGCAATCCACTCGCATCAGCCTTCCAAAGTCCTGGGATTACAGTTTGAGCCACCGAGCCTGGCCAACTACCTTACTCTTAACAGTGATCAGTTCAACATATGGGAATACTCCTCTGCATGACTTGAATTTATACAAAGTATTGATCATCTTTTTTTAACATTTATTTTTATTTTATTTTTTCCAAATGTTTATTGTGATCAGATACACATAACAAAATGTACTGTTTTAACCACCTTTAAGTGTATAGTTTAATGGTATCAATTAATTCTTTGAAATGATTTATTATCTTAAATTATGTAAAAAAGAACATGTAGAGTTACAAACTAAAGTTGCAATAATACTAGCTTGTAGACTAATTTTTCAAATGTATTTGTCTTTTAGCTCATGTAGAAAACAAGGTAAGCCGGGCTTGGTGGCTTAGCCTGTAATCCTAGCACTTTGGGAGGCTGAGGTGAGTGGATTGCCTGAGCAGGCAGGTTTGAGACCCGCCTGGGCAACTTGGCGAGACCTCATCTCTACAGTAAATCAAAAAATCAGCCGGGCGTGGTAGCGCATGCCTGTAGTTCCGGCTACTTGGAAGGTTGAGGGGGAAGGATCTCCGGAGCCCAGCAGGTAGAGGCTGCGGTGGCCGGGAGTGGCCACTGTACTCCAGTCTGGGCGACAGAGTGAGACTCCAACTCAAAAAAAAAAAAAAAAAGAAAACAAAGTAACAAACTGTCATTATGAAAATACTACATTTTATAATTGCCCATGTATTTGCCTTTATCAAGATTTGTATTTCTTCATATGTCTCCAAGTTATTGTCTAGTGTCCTTTTATTTCATTTTCTTATAATGTGTCTCAGTGTCAGTCTCTGAGATTGTCTTACTTAGAGTTCATTGAGCTCCTTGGATATTTATGTTCATGTTTTAACCAAATTTAGGAAGTTTTCAGCTATTATTTCTTTAAATACAGTTATGTGTCACTTAAAAATGGAGACATGTTCAGAGAAATATGCCATTGGATGAGCTCTTCATTGTGTGAATGTCATAAAGTGTACTTATACAAACCTAAATGGTATAACTTATTGTTTCTAGGCTATAAGCCTGTATGGCATATTATTGTACTGAATCCTGTAGACAATTATAACACAATGATAAGTATTTGTTTATCTAAACATAAAAATGTACAGTAAAAGTACAATATAAAAGATTTTAAAATGGAGTGGGCTGTGGTGTTCATGCCTATAATCTCAGCACTGTGGGAGGCAGAGGCAGGAGGATTGCTTGAGCCCAGGAGTTCAAGGTTAGCCTGGGCAACATAGCAAGACCCTGTCTCTACAAAAAAATCAAAAAATTTGAAAATAAAAAGGGCAAAAAGATAAAAAATGGTACACTTATATAGGGGACTTACCATGGACAGAGCTTGTAGGACTGGAAGTTGCTCTAGGTGAGTAGTGGATGAGTGGTGAGTGAATGGGAAGGCCTAGGACATTATACTACTGTGGTCTTTATAAAAACTATATTTAGGCTAGACTAATTTATTTTAAAATTTTTTCTTCAACAATAAATGAGGCTTAGCTTACTGTACTTGATAAAATTTTAAATTTTTTAAAACTTTGATTTTTTTGTAAAAATACTTAGCTTAAAATACAAACATTGTAAAACTATACAAAAATATTTTCTCTTTTGTGTGTTTATTCTATAAAGTTATATTTATAAAAATATATCTATTTTTAATTTTTTTTAACTTTTTCAACTTTTTGATTGAAAATAAGACACAAACATACACATTAGACTAGGCCTACACAGAGTCAGGATCATCAGTATCACTGCCTTTCACCTCTACATCTTGTCCCACTAGACGGTCTTCAGGGGCAGTAACATGCATGGAACTGTTATCACCTGCCTGAGGCTGCTTTGCAGTTAACCTTTTTTAGTAATAGAAAGAGTACACTTTAATATAACAATCAAAAGTCGAGTATAGAAAATACATAAACCAATAGCATAGCTTTCTTTATTATCATGATCTAATATGCTGTACTGTATATACTTGTATGTGCTAGACTTTTTATACAGTTAGCAACACAGTAGGTTTATTTGTACCAATATCACCACACACACAGGAGTAATGTGTTGCACTATGACTTTATGACAGCTACAACATCACTAGGCAATTAGAATTTTTTCAGCTCCATTATAATCTTTTTTTTTTTTTTTTGAGTTGGAGTCTCACTCTGTCACCCAGGCTGGAGGGCAGTGGCATGCTCCTGGTCACAACAGCCTCAACCTGCTGGGCTTCTGTGATCCTTCTGCCTCAGCCTTCCAAGTAGCTAGAATTACAGGCACGCTCCCACGCCTGGCTAATTTTTGATTTCTTATAGATACGAGGTCTTGCCAAGTTGCCAGGGTGGGTCTTGAACCCACAGGCTCAGGCAGTCCTCTCGCCTCGGCCTCCCAAAGCACTGGGATTACAGGCTGAGCCACTGAGCCTGACCTCCATTATAATCTTACAGGACCATTGTTGTATATGTGGTCCATCACTGACTGAAACATCATGTGGCATATGACTGTATTCTCTCTTCCCCTTTCTCTGTGTCTTCTGTTCTGAGACTCTCACAATGCATGTATTTGCTTGATGGTAGGCTACTAGTGCCTTTGTCCTTTTTTCTGTTTCTTAAACTCAATAATTTCCATTGTCTTAACTCTAAGTTATCAGATTTTTTTCTTCTGCCTACTCAAATCAGCCTTTGAATTCCTCTAACTAATTTTTTTTTATTGAGTTGGAGTCTCACTCTGTTGCCCAGACTGGAGTGCAGTGGCTGCTGCTGACCACTGCAGCCTCGACCTGCTGGGCTCCGGCAATCCTTCCACCTCAGCCTTCCAAGTAGCTGGAACTACAGGCGCGCGCTACCACGCCCAGCTAATTTTTTGATTTATTGTAGAGATGAGGTCTCGTCAAGTTGCCCAGGCGGGTCTTGAACCCACAGGCTCAGGCAGTCCACTCACCTCGGCCTCTCAAAGTGCTGGGATTACAGGTTGAGCCACCGAACGCCTAGTTAATTTTTAATTTCAATTAATTTTAGTTTTCAGCTCCTGAATTTCTTTTTGGTTTCTTTTTAGGATTTTCTTTCTCTTGATTGATATTTCTATTTTGTTCATACATCATTCTTTTTACCTTTTTCTTTTTTCTTTTTTTTTTTTTTTGAGTTGGAGTCTCACTCCATTGCCCAGACTGGAGTGCAGTGGCCGCTCGTGGCCACCGCAGCCTTGACCTGCTGGGCTCCGGCAATCCTTCCGCCTCAGCCTTCCGAGTAGCTGGAACTACAGGCACATGCTACCATGCCCAGCTCATTTTTGGATTTATTGTGTAGATGAGGTCTCGCTGCCCAGGTGGGTCTCGAACCCACGGGCTCAGGCAATCCACTCACCTCAGCCTCCCAAAGGCGCGGGATTACAGGCTGAGCCACCGAATCCGGCTACCTTTTTCACATCTTTAGTTCTTTAAGCATTTTAAAGCCAGTTGTCTTAAAGTCTTCTCTAGTATATCTGCCATCTGGTCTTTTTCAGAGTCTCTGTTGTTTTATTTTTTTCTTTGAATGAACCATATTTTACTTGTTTTTTATATACTTTGTGATTTTTGTTGCTGAAAACAACATAGTAATATGGTAACAGAGTCTCTCCCTTTCTCAGGTTTGTCTTTTCCTTTTGTTTGGTTGGTTGTTTGCTTGGTGTTTGCTTGTTATAGGATTTCTCTGTACTAAGAATCAGCCTGAGGTGTAAACTTAAGGTTTTCTCAAGTCTCTTCTGAGCCTGTATCTTTCCCTGAGCATGCATGATCTCTTTCTAATTTTCCTCATATATGCATTTGTTTTGAGTGTCCTAGTCTTCCATGTCTGGCTTCCAAAAGAGAAAAATGAAATGGGTGAAAATGGGGTGCCAGCCCTCTAGAACCCCTGGAGGTCACTTCAGCTGAAGAGCAAGGGGCCTGCAGCAGAGGTAGAGCAACTATGGCAGTCTGCTTCTCTGTCTGCATTCTGTGGTTGAAGCAGCAATCAATGATCAGAACACAGATCCCCAATATTTGGTGGATAGGGTTCTTTTGTGCCCACTCTGGCTCTTGCAAGCTGTGTGCAGTTTGCTTGGGCTGTCTACCACAGGTCTGTGGGTATAGAGTGGGTAACTACTACTGTTCTAAGAGCTAAAATTCACAGAAATTAACCACAATTACTGTGCAAGCCTTCCCCTGGAAGTTATAATCCTTCAATAGACTCCAGAGTTCCCAAATGGTTCTTTCAGATAGATTCTACCTATACAATTGTTGTCTAGGTGGGGAGCCAGATTCCTGGTTCTCCCTATTCTTCCATCTTCCCACAATGCTCCCTTGTATTATTAACATTTTTATTTATTTTTATTTTTTAAAAGCAATATATTTTAAAATTCCAGTTCCCTAGAGCACCTCATCATTCTTTGCTTACTTATCAAATCCTTTCACTTCAAAAATAATTGAGGCAAAATAATGCCTGATTAAAAAACACTGGAAGCCGGGCTCGGTGCTCAGCCTGTAATCCCGCGCCTTTGGGAGGCTGAGGTGAGTGGATTGCCTGAGCCCGCGGGTTCGAGACCTGCCTGGGCAGCGAGCCCTCATCTCTACAATAAATAAAAAAAAAATCAGCTGGGTGTGGTAGCGCATGCCTGTAATTCCGGCTACTTGGAAGACTAAGGCGGAAGGATCGCTGGAGCCCAGCAGGTCGAGGCTGCAGTGGCCGGGAGCGGCCACTGCACTCCGGTCTGAGCGACAGAGTGAGACTCCAACTCAAAAAAAAAAACAAAAAAAAACAAAAAAAAAAAACATTGGAAGATGGCTTTCTTTTATTGCAGCATAGCGTCCCTTAGAACCACACTGAGCCATATATTTGAGTTCTGTGTACCACAAAAGTCCACTCTGCTTTGAGAGGAATTTCATGACACTATTAATGCACTAGAGTAGTAATCTTATAAAACGAGCCTTCAGAATTCTAGCCAAGCTACATATTTTAAAGAGTTTCAAATGAAAATTGCATGTTTTAAAATCACATATTGTATAGGAAATTCAAGAAGTAACTAAGGTAATAAGACAGCTCAGTATCATGGACTCAAAGCTCTGATGCTTGTTATATCTGTTTGGGCAGGAGCAACTCATACAAGGTTTCTATGTCTATTATTCATGTGTAAGATAGGATATTAACACCTGTGACCCATCTTTATATTGCTATTGTTTGATTGAATAATCAATTGCTGACCCTTTTTCTTCAAAAGAAAAGTATGAATAAAAGGATGCAATTACTGAATTCCTTTAGCCCAGGACACTGCCTCTCACCATCTGCTGTTCCTCTCACATGTGCTTCACCTCCAGTCATACTGAATTACAAGTGTTCTGCCAGTATAGCATCCTGTCTGACTTCCCTGGACTTTTGCTGGAGCTCCTCAAACTGCTTGAGCTGCTTTTCTGTTGTTTCTTCTCATGGCTCTTTTTCATCCTTTAGTGTTCAGTGTAGGCCTTCTCTTCTCCAATAAAGCTTCTCTATAGCTCCAGGAAGAACTAAAAGCTTTACATCTGCTGTCTGCCTCTCTCCACTAGACTTATCCATTGTATTAAATTATCTGTGTGTGAATCTTTTCTACTAGACCGCAACTTCCTTGAGGCCAGGACTGTGTCCTATTTGTTTTTCTCTCCAAGTATCTAGCACAGTACCTAACAAATAGGAGGCAGGGAATGTTTCTTGATGGACTGAAGCGGATTGCCTATAAACATGTATGTGCTCCCCAAAAAGGCAGTAATGTCTTAGGCAAGACTTTCAGAAACAATGTTTTATAAAAACAATTACAGAGCCGGGCTCAGTAGCTCAGCCTGTAATCCCGCGCCTTTGGGAGGCCGAGGTGAGTGGATTGCCTGAGCCTGCGGGTTCGAGACCCGCCTGGGCAGCAAGACCTCATCTCTACAGTAAATCAAAAAATCAGCCGGGCATGGTAGCGCATGCCTGTAATTCCGGCTACTCGGAAGGCTGAGGTGGAAGGATCACCAGAGCCTAGCAGGCGAGGCTGCGGTGGCCAGGAGCGGCCACTGCACTCCAGTCTGGGCGACCGAGTGAGACTCCAACTCAAAAAAAAAAAAAAAAAATTACAAAGAATAATTTGAATTTTCATATGCTTTGAGTTCCCAGGGGCAATAAAATTTCTGGAAGGAAGTGTGGGTGATAATTCCGCTTGCCGTTAGTTTTTGTGTGTGTGTGTTATAGAATTCTTTATCAATGAGTATATTCATTGATTAAGAAATTATAATAAACCCTGTGCTCCCAACTTTTTTGGGGGCAGCATTTGATGCAGTATACAGGGGAAAATACCGTAAAAACAGATCTAGATTTTGATCAAGCAAACTATTTGCCACTTTAGTTTATAAATAAGGGTGGTGTGAAGTAGCAGTTCAAGAGAATTACCCAAGGTACAAAGACATTTCAATTATATGTCAGACATTCTTACAAGAAGTCGTCTTATCTAACCAGGAGGTAGGGTGGGGAGGAATTGCAATGTCACTATGCCCTTTTATCAGTGAAAGGACTTTGATCTGTCTTTTGAACCAATGAAAGCTTTTGAGTCTTAGAATGCCTCTGTTCCCCATCCTCATTCCTATAGTCTTCTTTCTCCTAACCTGTCTTCTGAGGGAAGAAAGGGAAAAGAAGGCTTGGATCAAGAGCAGAGAGAACTGAAGAACCACTGTAGATTTTGGTTATTTGTTTTGCCCTATCCCAGCCCCTTTGTATAATAAAACTAATTCTATATCATAAAACATCCATACTTATGGCACATTAATTATAATGTTTGGTCAGTTTATTTCCAGTAAATGCTGTACAGGAATAATTCTATTATAAATGAATTATCAGCCGGGCTCGGTGACTCAGCCTGTAATCCCGTGCCTTTGGGAAGTTGAGGTGAGTGGATTGCCTGAGCCCATGGGTTCGAGACCCGCCTGGGCAGCGAGACCTCATCTCTACAATAAATCAAAAAATCAGCCGGGTGTGGTAGTACACACCTGTAATTCTGGCTACTCGGAAGGCTGAGGCGGAAGGATCGCTGGAGCCCAGCAAGCGAGGCTGCGGTGGCCGGGAGCGGCCACTGCACTCCAGTCTGGGTGACCGAGTGAGACTCCAATTCAAAAAAAAAAATACATAAATAAATGAATTATCTCTGCCTGTCTGTGAAATTTGTCAGAAATGAATAGGAGTGCTTCCTTTACTAAGCAGCAAATACCTTCTAGTCATTACATGAATAATGCTTAGTCATTACAACTCGGTCATTTAACCCTAAACAACACAAGTGGAAACCAGGGATAGGAAGTTGTAGTGAGGGTCTAGTGGGCTAAAGCTAGAGCCAATCCAGTGGTCAGGAACAGAAGTGGCTATGCAGTGGGTACATTCAATTCAAGAACCATGACACTCAGAAGTCAAGCTGCTCTGCTAGATCAGGAATAAGTAAACATTGATCAATGGCCAGATGTGGTTCATCCCAGGCTGGCTCCATCTAGAGGCATGCTGGTAGAAAAGAAAAATAAGCCAGACTAGGAGAGCTAATCTGCCATGGGGTGGTCCCTAAAAGCAGTATCTGAAGGTGATGGTACTCTTGGCTCCCACGGCAGAAAATCTGGTAAGTAGGTCATATGAGCAGGAGTATCTAGGAGTGGTGATGTCCATGGCCAGATGAGTGGCTCTTGTAGTTCAGAACAGGAGCCAGGCAGTAGCTTGGGGAATGAGAAGCAAGGAGCCTTGGACACTAGGCATTGAGCTGATATTTGGGGGAAGTCTTTAATCCAAGTAGGGGAAATGAGGTGTGATTCAGGAAAAACAGGTAAAAGTAGGTTCAGATACAACAGGAATTTGAAAAAAAGGCTCAGGGGGTTACAGCTACCTACTTGTTTCAAAATCCTTCAGTCCCTAGCCCCACCCTCGAACCAGGATACTCTCATTGTGTGTTGGTACAGATACAAAGCGAGTTGAGGTTCCACCACTTTGCAGTTTCTGTCTAGCCTAAGAGGAAACTCAAATGTTCAGCACGGAGGATCTCTGCCCAAGGACCCTCTCTGTCCATGGTAACCTGTATTCTTGAAGCAGTGGTTTTGAAATTGAAGCACATTAGGTCATTGTCCATCTGCTGAATCCACTAGTCATATTCTTGCCATGATGATCACATTAACTTAGCACCAGCAAGTGGGTGAGGAGTCAGTGTTCCAGGTAGTACACCCTGGAAAAATTTAGTAGAGTCATTCATTGTTGAGGGATACCCTGTTATGAGTGGTACTTGGGACCCTGTGTACTCATTTGTTAAAGTTCCTGAATACAACATTTTTAAAGATTCTGGGAAGATAGCTACAAGTGAAAAGTGTGGTACAAGCACAGCAAAAAGGAGTCAGGGAAAAAGAACCTTGCTGGTATTTGTCTAGCATTAGGTGAAAAAGAGGAAAACTTCACCTCCAACCTAAAGTTTTTAGGGAAATGAATCTTAGCATCACACAGTGATACTTCAAGCTAGTCATGGACCCTGAATGAAACATATAAGCTCAGCCTGTACCTTCAAATGAATTCATCCAATAAGCTTTGCCTCTGAAATTTGGTTTCTAAGTGAGCTTCTTCACTAAGAAAGGAAGTTTCTGTGGACAAGGAATCTGAGTTCTCAAAAAAGTGTAGCCAACTTCCTCTTCTGTAAGGCAGAACTCTTGAAAGTATTAGAAACATGGAGATAAATAGGAGAAAAAGTAGCATGAGTAAATTCCTTACCATCCCTCTCCCAACTCCAACACACACACACACACACACACACACACACACACTTTGGGTGAACTGAGGAAACAGTCTCCAGATTTGTCAGGGAGAGGCCCGTACCCTAGAACAAAGAGGTCATAGACAGACCTATGTGTCTCACTATTCTAGGATGACTACAAGGTCATCTGCTTTGGTAATAAGGGCCAGTGGACATTAGCACTAGTTTCTATCCAGCCCTGGGAATTACTCTGAAGCATCATCAGTTACTTCTATGATCAGTGAACACGATGTAAAATCCAGAAACAATGAGGAAGGGAATAAGTGATGGGATATTTTTTTCTGAGTATATTTGTATATATATATAACAGAAAATGTTTTAAATAAGTATCTTTCCAGAGTTGTTTTTTTCCCCAGAAATGTATTTTTAATGTACCTGTAATGTAATTTTAACAGAAGTAGCATCTGCCTTAGTTCTTGCTTCCTGTGTGTCTCTAGGAATTACCTCCTTATAATGGCTTTGGACTAGTCGAAGATTCTGTTCAGAATTGCTTTGCTCTCATTCCAAAAGCTCCAAAAAAAGATGTTATTAAAATGCTGTTGAATGATAACAAGGTGCTTCGTTATTTGGCTGCACTGGTGAGGCTGTTTCTTAAATACTGAAGGTTTGGTTCTGTCTCAATACTGTTTACAATTGTCCATTTTGTTGTAGAGTAACAGCTGTCAGAGTTATGTGTTTACTCAGCCAATCATTGGATCTAGTACTCAGCCTTCAGTGGCTTGAAATTCTGTTACATGAAAATTAATGAATAAATAACTACCTAGATAAATTGCTTAACATAATTTTGTATGTAAGAATCCAGACACAAACAAATATGTACATTTTATGTAATTCCATTTACATGAAGATTTTAAAAAAACAAAATGAAACTGTTTAGGAATAGCTACTTTGTAGTGAAACAAAAGAAAATACAACTCAAGATAATGCCTTTTTTGGCAGGGGAAGGGTCGAATATTGTCAGGGCGGGTACTTGCTAAGTTCTGCCAGTGTTCCGTTTCTCCATCTGGGCAACGGTACATGGGTGTTCACTTTATGAAAATTCTTTGAGATGTACATTTTAAATTTTATTTTGCAATTTTCTGTCTGTGTTACCACTCACAGTAAAAAAAGATTTTAAAGAAACTCAACAGGACTATTAGTAAATAAGTAGTGGATATCTTCAGGGGGCAGGAAAAAAGAAGTGATCTTCTGGTTGTGATAATTTTCAAATATTTTTCCCTGACTGGTTTGGTGAAATAGGGTAAGTGCCATTAGGCTCGTTATCAAAACTGTAGAGGAAGAAAGAAAGGGTACCTGGCAGGGGAAAAGGCTTAGTAGTGAGGTAGAGACTTCAGAGGAAAAGATGGACATTCAGAGAGAAGGAAGTACGCTGGAGAAATGGCGAGAGGCAAATATGATTAAGTCCCATGGAGTTCAGAGACACTGGATGTGTTCTGAGAAAATAAAGTATACTAGCCTAGGTTTGTGCCTACGTACAAATGTGCAGGTAAACTATGCGGGGCTCAGAGGGAGTGCGGGCTGAGGAATTTGGGGAAGCTTTAGAAGAGAATAAGAAACAAGACTTGAGCAGTGATCCTCGAAGCAGCGTGCACGCCTTCCAGGGCATTTGCAAGGCAGTGCTACCTATGGTGTTTATTAAGAAAATATTGTAGCCTCTGTTTATTATATATTTATTATGAGTGAATTTATTTTATAACCCCTGATATTTTTATATGTGCTTTATAAAGCACAAAATATATAGGAGAGCATATGTTAAATTATTTATTCACTTATTCAACAGATATCAAAGGACTACTCAGGACTAAATATAGTTCTAGGTACTGAGGGTACAGTGGAGAACAAGACAGATAAATCTCTGCCCTCATGGAGCTTATATTCTAGTCAATAAATAAATATAGCCAGAAGCGGTAGCTCATACTTATAATCCTAGCACTTTGGGAGGCTGAGGTGGGAAGATTGTTTGAGCCCAGGAATCCAAGACCATCTGGGCAACATAAACCTCATCTCTACAAAAACATTTAAAAATTAGATGGGCATGGTGGCACATGCCTGTGGTCCCAGCTACACAGGAGGCTAAGGTGGAAGAATCACCTGAGCTCAGGAGGTCAAGGCAGCAGTGGGCCCTGATCATTCTACTGTACTCCAGCTAGGGCAATAGAGTAAGACCCTGACTCGAAAAATAAAATGTAAATAAATAAATAAAAAGTTGTATAAGATAGGTTGTAACACATGCTGTGGAAAATAAAGCAAGAGACTGAGAAGGATAGGGAAAGCATCTCTGAGGAAGTCCTAGCCGAGCAGAAACCAAACAAATAGGGGAATGTCTGAGACAACTGCATGTAAGCTAGAGGTCATGTGCTGTAAAGGTAGGGTAGGAAGGTGGAAATGACAGACCAGGCACCAGCTCAGAACTTTGTAACCAGGGGTGTAACAAGGCCAGAAAGCCAGGGCAGTGGGAAAACTCCAGGTAATAAGGGGGTGCAGATAATAAGCCTGCAGAGAATTTAAAAACAGAACCAGGCCAGGCTCGGTGGCTCAGTCTGTAATCCCGCGCTTTGGGAGGCCGAGGTGAGTGAATTGCCTGAGCCCGCGGGTTCGAGACCCGCCTGGGCAACTTGGCGAGACCTCGTCTCTATAATAAATCAAAAAAATTAGCCGGGTGTGGTAGCGTGTGCCTGTAGTTCCAGCTACTTTGGAAGGGCTGAGGCGGAAGGATAGCCGGAGCCCAGCAGGTCGAGGCTGCGGTGGGCCGGGAGTGACCACTGCACTCCAGTCTGGGCGACTGAGTGAGACTCCAACTCAAAAAAAAAAAAAAAAGAACCAAAGGATCTCAAGTATAAAACAATGAGAAGAAAAAAAAAGAAGAAGAAAACAAAGAAAGTACAGTGCTTTTTTGTACTAGTTAAAGGAATATCAACATTTACTTATACCAGAGACATTTGAGGGGTTTGTCATTTAATTAACATTTTCTGGAGTCAGGGGAAAAATTGTTATCTAAAATCTTCCATATCTAATATGCCAACTCCTATATTATGCACTTAAAGCCAAATATATAAAAATTAATACCAAAATTAAAATAAATATTTTTTAAAAACCAGAACTAACTAAAAGTTGGTCTGCAGCTTATTATTATCGAATCCTGTAATTGTAAGCAATATCAGTGATAAATACTCATCCCCAAAGAGGCAGCTCCTCCATGCGGTAGAACTTCAGTCAGGACATGTAGAAGAAAAGTGGGAAATAGAAATTGACCATTAGGCTCACACCACAGCAATAATCATTGCAGATAAGATCTGTCAATAGATGCTAAAACCAATGGGAGAAGCTTGGAGGAGAAATAGGATTTTCATAATCTCAAAATATCTTCCCCATATTAGTTGCAGAGAGAAGGATGGTAATTTTAAGAGAAGAAACCCAGCAGAAACCTTCTTAACCACATGATTGGGGTTTAACTACTTGATCAGTAATAAGACATGTTGATATCAGGAACTCCTTGATAATTCACTAAGGACATAATATATTCTCTGGGATATTTCTGTCAAAAACGCAAAAATGAGATGCATGAGGAATATTCAACAGAATAATTAATCAGTAGTCTTTAAAACTGAGGAAGTACGTCACAGATTGGAAGGAACTACAAAGAAATAACAACTAAGTCAATGTGGGGTCCTGGATAGGAGCCTGAAACAGAAAAAGAATGGTTATGAGAAACAGGTGACATTTGAATAAGGACAGTGGTTTATTTAACAGTACTGCACTATTGTCACTTTCCTGATTTTGGTAATTATACTTTGGTTACATAAGATGTTAACATTAGGGGAATCTTGGTGAAGGTATGTGAGAATTCTCTGTATTATGTATGCAACTTTTCTGTAGGTGTAAACTTAGTTCAAAATGAAAACTTAAAAACTTTAAGTTTAAAAATACTCCTTCTTACCATGGTAAACCATTGCTACTGTCCTCCCGGCTCCCTTGATACGCCCCTGCTTAGAACTTTGTGTTTTATCCTAAGTGTGATGAGAATTCTTTGGAGTTGGGAGAACAGGAGAGTGCTGTGATTTGATTTTTCTAAACTATATTGAGGGTATTTGCTTAAAATTTATATTTTTATTACATGGTATCCAGTCATATAGATTTGAACACTATTAGATATAATGACTTTCATCAATAGATGAGACGTTATTACACAAATGGCTCCATGGTCTGAATGAGCAGAAATGTGCTGAAGTTGCCATATGGGAAGATTTTAGTCAAATATAAGCATGTCTAGACTAAGCCCTGTTTGAGCTAGAATTCATTCCTTAAAAGTTATGTGATTATTATGTGATTTGATTTAGGAAAAGTCTTGTTTACAACAAGATAGTTTCTCAGAATCACTTTTTTTTTTTTTTTTGAGTCGGTCTCTATGTTGCCCAGACTGGAGTGCAGTGGCATGATCACAGCTCACCACAGCGTCAACTTTCTGAGCTCAGACAATCATCCCACTTCAGCCTCCCAAGTAGCTGGGACTACAGGTGCATGTCACCATGCCCAGCTAATTTTTTTTATTTTCTGTGTTGCCTGGGCTCAAGCGATCCTCCTGCCTCAGCTTCCCAAAGCTGTGGGATTATAGGCACAAGCCATTGTATCTGGCAGAATCACTTCCAATTCTGATGTTATATTACTTTTGTTCTACCTTTTTTATTTTAATTTTTTTTAAACCAGAGTCTCACTCTGTGGTCCAGGCTGGAGTACAGTGACATGATCATGGCTGACTATAGCCTCGATTTCTTGGGCTCAGGCAATCCTTCTACTCAACTTCCCAAGTAGCTGGCACTACAGGCACATGCCACCACTCCCAGTTAATTTTTTTGTAGAAACAAGATTTTGCTATATTGCCTAGGCTGGTCTTGTACTCCTGGGCTCAAGCAATCCTCTTGCCTCAGCCTCCTAAAGTTCCTTACCTGGAGTTCTGATTTTATATTTGAGTTCTGATTTTATTCCTCTTTTTAAATTTTTATATTTATTTATTTTTGAGTCAAGGTGTCACTCCAGGCTGGAGTACAGTGGCACAATCATAGCTCACTGCAGCCTTGAACTCCTGGGCTCAAGTGTTTCCCTTGCCTTAGCTTCTCAAGTAGCTGGGAATACAGGTTCACGCCCTGATGCCTGGTTAATTTTTTTTTTTTTTTTTTAGAGGTGGGGTCTCACTATGTTGCTCAGACTGGTCTCAAACTCCTAGGCTCAAGTGATCCTCCCACCTCAGCCTCCCACAGTGCTGGAATTACAGGCATGAATCATCATGCCCGGCTGTTCCTCACTTCCTAAATTTTAATTTTTATATTATATATAAATGGATTTGTTTTAAAAATGAAACCTTGGATAATCATCTTAGTGTTCACAAAGCTAAACATAATGTCAGTCAAGAGGTCTCTAACTGGTAGCCTGTGGGCACAGTGTAGCCCACATGAGTATTCTAGTACTATGTGTTTGCTTGCATTTCATGGTGCTTTAAAAGAGTTGGAGCCAACACTTTAAAATCAGGGGTTTTATATAGTAATCCAACATTTAATCTTCTTTTGAAAAACTGAAAGATCTAGCACCATTGGGCCTACATTCTCTCAAGGCAACAATTAACTTGAGTTGGGGCAGCCTCCTAAGAGGCCTCCCTTAGATGAGGCATGTCCTTTCTAGACCCCCAGAGTCGCCCTGTAGGTGGTTTGTTTATATTATAAGAACCCAAACTGTTTAATGTATATTCTATATGTGGCTCCTATAGACAATTAAGTTTGGGGCATCTGAATAGATCATGAACCTTCATAATATCCTCGTTCCTTCACCTTTCTAGGAATCCCCCATCCGAGAAGACAAAGACCGCAGATTCATCTTCTCTTACTTCCTAGCCACTGACATGATCAGTATCTTTGAGCCTCCTGTTCGTAATTCTGGCATCATTGGGGGCAAGTACCTTGGTAGGACTAAGGTTGTTAAACCAGGCTCTACTGCGGACGACCCCATCTACTATGGCCCCGGTGACTTCTTCATTGGTGCTGTGATTGAGGGTAGGTCTAAACACAGTTCAGAATGTTCTACTGGCTGCAGGAATACATTCTTTTTAGTTGGAATTTAATACGTTTGACCCTTGGAAGAGGCAATTAGATTGTATTCAGACTGAGTTAAAGCTGGTATTATTGAATATATAATATAATGTCTTCATATCCTTCCTTATCAATTAAACTCTAAATTGATTGCATTTGTACACTATAGGTGTTGACAATGAGTTTTCTTTTTTTTTTTTGAGTTGGAGTCTCACTCTGTCACCTAGACTGGAGTACAGTGGCCACTCCCAGCCACTGCAGCCTCAACCTGCTGGGCTCCGGCGATCCTTCTGCCTTAGCCTTCCAAGTAACTGGAACTATAGGCGCGCGCTACCACGCCCAGTTAATTTTTTGATTTTTATTGTAGAGATGAGGTCTCGCCAAGTTGTCCAGGCAGGTCTCGAACCCACGAGCTTAAGCAATCCACTCACCTCAGCCTCCCAAAGTGCGGGATTACACGCTGAGCCACCAAGCCCGGCTGATAATGAGTTTTCTAAACATTGAGCTAACTACTGCATATTAGTTTATATAGTTTAAAGAAAGTTCATTCGTCTAGGTTACAAGTGCATATCTGTGAATTTATCATTGGAGGGTTAATATTATTTTACTCCTGATTGCATGAGAGAAACATATTCAAGCTAATGTGTTGCTACCGTCTCTCCAGTGTTTGGCCACCGGTTCATCATCCTTGATGCAGATGAGTATGTTTTGAAATACATGGAGAGCAATGCTGCCCAGTATTCGCCAGAAGGACTCTCATCAATTCAGAAGCACATCCGAAAGCAAGAAGCTCCTGCACCAGAAGCAGAAACGTATGTTTGACTGCTAGGGTCATTTTGACTTTGGCACATGTGAGATATTCACAAAGTGGTTCTTGACAGAATGAATTAGTAATCAGATTTTCCTCACCAGGTGGGAATTATTGGGTACACAGAAAGTTCCTTAGGTACAATATAACAACTAGTAACTTAAAATTGTCTCAACTTTATTTATTTAGCAAATACAGCTGACCCTTGAACAATGCAGGGGTTAGGGGTACAACCTCCTTGACCCACACAGTCGAAAATTCCTTTATAACTTTTAAATTCCTCTAAACTTAATTACTAATAGCTTACTGTTGACCGAAGCCTTGCCAAAAAGACAGTCAATTAACACACATTTTGTATGTTGTATGTATTATATACTTATATTTTCTTACAATAAAGAAAAGGAAGTTATTGAGAAAATTATAAGGAAGAGAAGATATATTTACCATTCATTAAGTGGAAGTGGATCATCTTAAAGGTCTTCATCATCTTCATGTTGAGTAGGCTGAGGAGGAAGTGTTGATCTTCCTATCTCAGGTGTGGTAAAGCAGAAGAAAATTCTAGTTCAAGTGGATTTGCATAGTTCAAACCCGTATTGTTCAAGGGTCATTTGTAATTATTGGTTACCTACTATGAGTCAGATACTATCACTAGGCACATGGGCTTTTATCAGTAAACAAAATAGACAAGAAGTTACTACCTTTATGATGTTGACCTTATAAACAGCAGGAGCTAGACAATAATACAAATAAGTAAATTATACAGTATATGAGGTGGTGAATGCTATTGAAAAATGGCGCAAAATAAGGATAATAAGGGTTTTTGGAGAGTGGCAGTGGATTGCAACTGATCAGGGCAGGTCGCTGTACCTTGAGAAGGTGGCATTGAGCAAACATGTGATGGTGAGGAAGTTAGCTGGGTGGATATCTGGAGGAAGAGTTTTTCAGGAAGAGGGAATGGTGAGTGTAGAGGCCTTAAGTGGTAGCATACGTAGTCTAGAGTACTCAGGAAGCATTGGCAAGAAGTAGGCCAGTGAGAGTGGCTGAAATGGAGTGAGTGAGTGAGGAGAGCAGGAGGAGATGGAATTAGAAACTTAACAAGGGCTGGATCGTGAGGACCTACGAGGTCTTTGAAAAGTGTTGGCTTTTTTCTCTGAGTGAAATGCAGAGCCACTGGGGGGCTCTCAGCAGAGGAGTGGCAAGACTTGACATGTATTTTAAAAGAACTATCCTGGCTGTTGTGTTGAAAATAGATTAGAAGGAATATTCCTTAGGAAGACTGCTGCAGGAATTCAGGCAACAGAAGGTGGTGCATGGCCCAGGTTGTTGTCAGTGTAGGTGGGGAGAAGCGGTCTCATTTGGATGTAGCACCAATAAGACTTCCACAAATTTTCTAGGGGAGGTGAGAGAAGTAATAGCTAAGGATGAGCTCTAATATGTTTGGTCTGAGCAACTGGAAGGAAGGAATTGCCTTCAACTGAGATGGGAAAGTTGTGGACTTTGGGTAGAAGAGTTTTTTGGCTGGGGTAGGGATTTTAGTTTTGGATATACTGTACTTTAAGACAGCCAAGTAGATAGCCAAGTAGAGATAGTATACAGGCTGTTGAATATGGAGTTCAGGTGAGTGGTCTGGGCTAGAGATGTAAACGTGGGAGTTGTTGGCCTTTGGATGATATTTTAGGCCACAGACTAGTGAAATCTCTAAGGGAGTTAGCATAGATAAACAAGTGAATGGCTCCAAGGACTAAGCTCTGGGTCCTCCCACACCAAGAGAGGAAACTGGAAAGGATAACCAGCAAGGCAGGAAGAGCCAGGTAGTGTGGTGTCCTGGAAACCAGATGAAGCCAATACAGGCAGTCCTCCCTGTACACAATAGTGGGGTGGAAAAATAACCATGCAAAACAATTTTATAATTAATAGAAAAACTGACCATTGTTCTGTGCCCTTTAACAATTTTTTGTAACATTAAAATCTCCCAAATATATAGGGAGGCCGGGCTCGGTGGCTCAGCCTGTAATCCCAGCACTTCGGGAGGCCGAGGCAAGTGGATTGCCTGAGACTGCAGATTCGAGACCAGCCCGGGCAACTTGACGAGACCTCGTCTCTACAATAAATCAAAAATTAGTCAGGCATGGTAGCACACACCTGTGGTTCCTGTTGCTTGGAATGCTGAGGCGGAAAGATCACTAGGGAAAGATCACCCTAGACGCTAGGGTGGCCATGAGCAAGCCACTACACTTCAGCCTGGGTGATGGAGTGAGACTCCAACTCAAAAGAAAACCCCCCCAAAACAAAAAACATATAGGAAAAAGAAAAAATAGTAAAACTAATTTTTACTTAGCACACTGTAATTTAAAACATTGAGAACATCAAGAATTAAAGTGTGTGTGTGTGTGTGTGTGTGTGTGTGTGTGTGTGTGTGTGTGTGTGTGTGTGTTTTGTAAAAATTGTGTCAAGAGCAGTTTGAAAAGTATCTGCCTTCTTACTGTGTGACTTATGGAACAGAGTGAGCATCAATTCTGTACCTTGTTGAATTGTCATCTTTGGTTTAAATTTGGATCAATTTACAATGTTTTATTATTTCTGCGTTCCTCTACTGAGAATGAAATAGCTCTGAGAATTCTTTTTTTTTTTTTGAGTTGGAGTCTCACTCTGTCACCCAGGCTGGAGTGCAGTGGCACGCTCCCAGCCACCACAACCTCGACCTGCGGGGCTCCTGCGATCCTTCTGCCTCAGCCTTCCAAGTAGCCGGAACTACAGGCACGCACTACCACACCCGGCTAATTTTTTTTAACTTATTGTAGAGACGAGGTCTTGCCAAGTTGCCCGGGAAGATCTCGAACCCGCAGGCGATCCACTCACCTCAGCCTCCCAAAGTACTGGGATTACAGGCTGAGCCACTGAGCCCGGCCTCTGAGAGTGCTTTTAATGTGAAGTGTTGCAGGCATCTGGGATATCCTCCTTTTCATTACAAACACTGTCCTCATTCATGTTGATAGATTCACTCTCACCAAGGTTCCCCTGGCTGCCTAGCTGGAGTCTCTTGAAAGGTGGTTGTGTCAACATCACACAGTCAGCTCTTTCTTCCATAACTCTACTTATATTTGACTTGCATCTCACCATTAGAACTATCACTTTTTGTTTCTTTGCTGCACTTTCATCTTTGTTAGCTAGTTCCCTCTTTTGATGACCCAATTTTGAAAACATGTAGGTGTATCACTGAGAGACAAGGAGGCAGCATGGCTACACACTTTGCTGCCTGTGTGTGAGCTGAAACACAGATGCACAAGTTACCAATCACCAACAGACTTTGAAAGTCTGTTGAAGTGATGTGATTGTCATTGATTATGACATACATCTGCATATCATATGTTGTGATTAGTGGACTAAAGACCTGGTAGAGAAGTATGTACTTTATGCAGTTACTCACAGTTAATAAGCTGTGGTAGTAACTGGAATTTGAACCATGTTGTTGGGGGACTGGGTTATTTTACTAAATGGTGGTCATAAAAATTCATGCATCTTGGAACTGTTATCAAGGAAGACAGAATGATTCATTGTGTCAAATGGGGATTTAGCAATATTCAGGGAATTAGGGACCTTAATGATAAGTTTCAGTGGAATGGGAAGGCTGGGGAACCTAATGGGAGTGGACTTAGGAGAAAATGGAGAGAGGAATTCAGACAACTCTTGAAGAGGTTTGGTGCAAAGGAGAACAGAGAAATGGGGCAGCAGCTGTCAGGGAAAGTAGAGTCAGGAGGTTTTGTTTTGGTTTGGTTTTGCTTTTGTTTTAATACAAAAGAAAGAATATCATGTTTGTATGTCAATGGGTGTGATTATGTAGAGACAGAGGGGATATTTTCTGGAGTTTGTGAGAGGATGGGGTTTAGTAAACAAGGGGAGGAATTGGCCTTAGAAGTACCAACTGCTTAGGGCAGCAGTTCTCAAATTGTTGGCCTCAGAACACCTTTATACTCTTAAAAATTATTGAAGACCCTGAAGAGTTTCTGTGTGTTCTTATCTATCATATTTAGCTTATTAAAAATTGTATCTTAAAATATTTTAATATTTATTTTAAAAATACACCCATTTTGTGTTAATACAAATAACATTTTTATAAAAATAGCCATATTTTTACAAAGAAATTTAGTGAAAAGAGTGGCATTGCTTTACATTTTTGCAGCTCTGTTGATGTCTGCCTTTAGCGACAGTGAGACTCCAACTCAAAAAAAAAAGAAGACAACTGGGTTTTCATCAACTTGTGTATTCTGCCTGCTGTGATATCATTTGTTGTATAACCTTTGGAAAACTCCACTGTGCACTTAAGGGAAGACAAGAATAAAATGTCAGATCATGGCTTAGTAGTATTACAAGAATCATTTTGACCTTGCAGACTCCCAGAGGGACTTGGGAACTTTCCAGAGGTCCTGGGATTGCTCTTTGACACCTTGGTCTATGGAAACAAGCAAGAAGGCAGAATCTGCAAGTAGAGATGCTGATGGGTGGTAGATATGGTTGGGAGACCTTTCATTGTGTTCATTGTAGTTGTACAGTAGGAAAAATGAGGATAGGGAGATGTTGGAGGTTTCAGGAGAGAGAAGTTGTGAAATGCTCTATTTTATTGCCTATATAAATAAAATTAATAAAATGAATATAACAATAAAATGAAAAAACATAGCATTATTTTATCTACCACTAAGAAAGAAAAATTGCCAGTTATAATCCATAGTCACCATCAATTACAAAGTGCAGATTAATTCCAGAGATGTTAAAATGTGAAAAATATTGTCATAGGACTTAAAGAACGATGATAGCTGAAGGTGGGAAGCTGAGTGGACTAGAGAAGTGTGGTTTGGTGGTTGTACAGCGCTAATGACCGACCTGATAGTCATGGTCATACATTTAACTCAAGTGCTTCTCAAAAGATTTTTTCTGTGCTTGTCCCATGTCTATGCAGATACCAGTAGGTACTAGAAAGATTCTTGCTTCAGGATACTACCAGCAAAA